GGCGGGGGCGTGGGGAGGAAGAGGTTCCAGTGTATCTCAACTAGAAGCTGAGAATTTGGATATACAGGACACATGTTTCATGGAATGTAATGTTAAGTTGGAAACCTGAAGGGTTTTAAACCTAAACCTAAATCTCCTCTCAACATAGTTTCCAAACTCTACAGTGTATGATAGCAACTAAACAGAAAATTAATCTCAAGCCATAACTTGAGCTGAAGCATCAAGATAGATCATAGCATCAGGTCACAGCTGTGGAGAATATATTCTTATGATTACAGGCAAATCAGAAGTAGGTAAATTGTCCTACACCCACAAGATAGCCTCTACCCCTGTCAGTTCCTATTGGTTTAACGCAGTTTACTTTCTGTTCTATTGCTCACCAGAACAAGGAGTTAGATGTCCCTTCATCTGGCACCTCTGTGAGCCAGCGTCTACTAAGAAATAACCAAGTATATGAAAAGACAGAATCATTGATCTAAAGCCAAGAAAAAAACAGTAGGAATCAGAAATACAGGTGACACATATTGAAGTTAGTAGACAAAAACTTTGTGATTACAATGTTCAGGAATATAAAGTTGAGAAATAAAATGTGGAGAAGTTATGTGAGTGGTTATCATTCTGGTTAAAATCGGAAAAGCTTATGAGGGGTGTGGGTTGCTGCTAACAGTTTACTTTGCGTACTGATGGCACAGATTCCATTTTTGAAAATTAAGAACACTTGTTTTGTGCACTTTTTACTATATATGGTACATTTAAATGGAAAGCAGAAAAGGGGATGAGGCACTTTGCTCCCATTGATTACTGTTGATTAATTTTCTTTAATTTGTATTATAGTGAACTTTTTCCTACACTCAGGGAGAGGCTTGGTATATTCTAGCCAGGGGGAATTTCTCTTCATGCAGCTCTTTCCACACTCTTTGTTTAATTTCTCCTCATAACCCAGCTCAGCTGTCACATTGATGCAAACCAGGAGCTTCTAAGTAGAGCTGCTCTTCCTAAGCTTTCCCAGGAGTAAGAACAGTGGTTAAGTGTAGTGGGCTTTAATCGACTTTCCTGCTGAGATTCAGACCACATTCAGCATGAATTAAAAAGTGAGCTACAATCTTAACAAAGCAATGACCAGACAGAGTTAGCCTGGAGGTGCCGTCCAGCTTGAAAGGAAGGGATTTTTTCTTTTTAATGAGTAGGTAGAAAGAGAAGCTGCCTATGGAAAATAAGAACTTGATTTTGGCAGGAGAATAACAGATTTCAAGAATCACATTGTCATTTAACTTACTTCATACAACACTGCAAAAAAGGACAAGACAAACAATTTGCTAATTGTAGGTGATTTCCATGTGTTTATATAGAAAATTGACACCTTCTGACATGCTTATACTCTTAAGTGAAGATTAAATTATGCTAATTCTTAAAAGAAGGGTTTGCCTTCTTTTTTGGGAATCTTTAATTTCTCCTCTCTTCTTGGATTCTGCCTTCCTACAGTCAATTCCAATGCAAATTCTGCTGGTTGTGCCTACACAATTATGTCCAAAATTTGACCACTGCTTCTACTACTGTTACCTTTGATCCTGAGCCAAACCACTAGCTTTTCTCACCTGGGTTTGTTAAAGTATCTGAACTGCTCTCTCTGCTTCTAACTGTTTCTTGCCATTAGCAGAGTCAGTATTTTCAAACTTAAGTCATATCAGGTCTTTTGTAGTCTCCAAAGGCTTGCCATTAAACTCAATGGGAAAGTCAAATCCTTACCAAGGTCTACAGGGATTTAGCGATCTCACTTCCCACACATTGCCACCC